TTAATTATACTTTGTACTAGATACAATCTTAAGATTGTATCTGGTTCCGATAACAAGTTTTTTTAAATATATACTATATATATATATTTTTTAATTTCGGGTTTCATCTTAAATTCAAAAGTATTTCGGGTTAATTCGGGGTACAAAATAATTTTGTCCCCCGAAACCCGATATAATTTCGTCGGCATGTATATCGCCATATTCGCACTATAGTAAATTTATATAGTAATTTTACTATGATTATTCTTCAGATGACTGATGGATCATCAATTAAACGATTTTGTTTTATTTTAGCATACTGATCAACAATATATTGTTGATATAAATGGCCAGCATACTGTATCCAATCACCATCTTTAATTTGTAATCTATAAGCATAAAATTGCATAGTTGTTACTCTTTCTCTTTTTAAAGCATTTATAAGTAGTATATTTGTGTACCACTCATCATCACCTTTAGGAAATAATAATACATAGTTAAGTGGATTATATGAAGGATAAATTTCTGCTATTTTTTGCAAATTTCCATCATGTGTTCTAAGAAGAATGTCTTGATTTGTTGGATTTACCTTATGACCATCACCTACTATTATTGCAGCTACATCAGGAGCTGATAGAGCATTATAACAACGAATATCTTGATTTCTATCACCACGAATTATCATTGAAATTTCAGTAGTTGCATTATCACGTATAATATTTCTTACTTGACGAAAATTTTAAATATATGGGTTGCAAATATCTAATATATTCTGTAAACTCTGTAAAATATTTTTATTTAATTCCTGCATTACATTATGATGATTTGTAATTTTATTTGCAGTATCATAAATATATATTTGAGCAAATGCTGGTATATGACCTTCATTTGGTAATAATGATCCAATTAAATAATAAACTTGACCATGAATCTGAAAATTTGATATACTATGTCCTAAAAATTGATTATTTACTTTAGTACCAAAAGATGTGCAAGCCAAGACACTATTATAACTTCTAGCATGTTTGCGAAACTCAACTGCATTAGAATTAGTTGAAGTATAAAGATTTAGTAGATAGTGTGGAGATTCAAGTAAAGGTAATAATTGCACTTTGCTATTAGCACAACAAAGAGGAAATCTCAAAGCGGCATACCCACTATTTTGATCTTTTTCAATTATCCAAAACTTAGCTTTACAATATCGACAGGTTTGATCCATTCTACCCATATTATAATGTTTGGTTTTATCACAGTAAGAAGTCTGATTACTTTGAGTATTAATAAACTCAAAATTAGTAATTGTAGGAACTTCAGTATTAGGTAAAGGTGAAAGATCATTAGAATCAGAACCAGAATCAGTATCTATAATAGGAGTTTTACCAGTTTTAACTACAATTATAAGAACTTTGGTATTAAGTAAATTTTGAAGTTCTTCAAAAGTATCAGTAGATTTATTCTTATTTCTAAACCATTTTTGGCACTCACGACTAAGTTGCTTTTGACGTTCTTTTGATGATGTAGAGCTATTAGAAGATGTTGCCATTATCTAAAAAACAAAAAATTATACAATAGATATAATAAACTATAAAAGTTAAAAATTTAATATAATAATATATATAATTACTAATTAAAATTATTAATTACTTTATAGTAAATTTTTAAACAAAATCAAAAAGCACAGTTTAAATAGATATTGTTAGTGTAATTATTGTTAAATACAAAATATAATAATAATACTGTAAGATTATAACTAAAGTATAAATATATAAAAATATTAAATTGTATATATTAATAAGCTTTGATTATAATACAACTTATATAAAGCAAAGGTTAGAAGCAAAAATAATATTATACAAATTTATTATTTGAATAATATAAATATATAAAGTTTTAAAGAATAAATAAAATTAAAAATAACTAATTATACTTATTTTGATATCTAAGTAAGCTTTGATTATATTATAACTTATATAGAGCAAGACTTGGAATCAGATAAGTTTTATATTTATTTATTTAGTAGTTAAATTTGGATATTTAAATAAATATTAAATGTATAGATTATACATATATATATATTGATTAATATATACTTCTAAAATCTACTAAATTACAGTATATCAGAAGCATATACTATCATATTAGCTCGTGTCAGTATGTGTGCTACTATATATAAAAAACCCTAATTGGGCTTTCAATTATATTTTGTACCAGACAAAATCTATTTAATTTCTTAGAGAATATGTCCGGCCAAAATATAATTGAAAGCCCGATTAGGGGTTTTTCCTTGGCGGCACTTATATGATCACGATACTAATTTAGTTTGATGCTCAATTAGAATTTGAAACTGGATTTGAATAAGAGAAAGCGTATTTATAAGAGGTATATATATATTTGGGCCAGATCTTCAGATCGAATATTTCTATTTTTAGAAATTAATTAAGTTTATAATATAATACGAAAAGCAATTATGTAAATAAGTATATAAAAAAAATAAAAAAAATAGAATTTGTATATCGCTTCTTTTGAAACAAACACATCACTTATTTTTATTTAAAAGAAAATACCAAATCATTAATTCTGAAACCCCAATTGGTTAATTATTATGTATTATAATGCTTATACAAAAACAGGATTTATGATTAATTCTCTCAGAATCAGTATACATGGTGGACAGGTTTTGTATTAGTTTTGAGAGGTATCGGATTTGAAAACATAACAAACTATTGAATTTTTATAACAGGAACAGACTTGGTAGGCCAATTTTTTATTGGTTTTGACAGGTTCAGTTTTGAGAGGGTTGACTATAGCAAATAAAATAAAATAATAGAAATATTACTAGTTGTAAACCTGTGCAATAATGCACAGGAATAAACTTATAAAATTTTTAAATATAATTTTAAAATAAAATAA